GCGTCTCACTTCGTTTTTAACCAGAAAAGACGATCATTAAATTACAGCTAAAATGGAGCAAAGAACAACTTCTAACGCTCTTATGCGGCCTAATTGACCTTCAGTTGCAATTCATTCCTCAAACGAGGTCCTCTTCAGGACACTAATGGACTGCCCAACTGCCAATGTCCGTCTTCGCTAATTTTCGTCTCCCTCTTTTTTTTCATGCTCGTACTAGCCTTACGGAATTACAGAAGGCGCAGTTCATAACTTAAACAACTTGAAAGAACGGATAGTTTGTGTTCTTCATGTACTTACGTAAACAGTATGTAAATAAACACAAATGTGAAATTTACATGATCATACTTCTTGCTTAGTCAACTGTTTTTATGGTATTTAATAAAAGGAACTCATCTAGTCTGATGCTATTTATAAGTCCTAATTTTAACAGACACAGAGGGCTAGGGCGATGAAACTTGTAAAAACGTCGTTTGTAAGTAGCAGTGGCTTTGGTAGCAATCCTCAAACGTCGTACGAACTTCTGCGACGAATTTACTGAATTCGCCTACAAGAACGAATAGGGAATGGGTGAAATATAATAAATCATCTGAATAAAATGAAGTCTTCGGAGTAGGTAAATCACGTTTTTGGGATGCGCCCACGAATTCGGTTTCTATTCAGAATCGTTGTGGTGATTTGAATGTGTATGGGGCCTATACAATGACTTGCGATGACCAGCCTGTGCAAATCACTCTCAAACGAGTGCACTGTGCAGTGTAGGGATGGAAGGCTTGGTTACCCGGGGCAAGTATTGATCCGCCGTTCAATCCTCAAAAAGGTGTGTGTGTATGTATGTATTCGTGTGTGTGTGTGTGTGTGTTGAGTGTGTGTGTGTGTGTGTGTATGTGTGATAGTGTGACTCGCCACTGCATTACCTCCTCCTAATCCACAGAAATTAGGTAATTTTGGCACTCACCTATTACTTCGCCTCTATTTTCACTTATGAAGCGATTCTGAGGAATCAATACGTTATCATACTAGTAAAATGAACTTATATAGTGGTAACAGTACCCTCGTCGCTAACACTTTTCTTCTTTAATGGTCTCTGAGCTCCTATCTGCTCCTCCATTCGGTCTAAATCATTATTCTCTTTTTTTTTCTTTACAGCAGTTGCTTCTTGCTTTTTGGCTCTGGCGTTTTTCTCGATGAAGGAAAGTTGATGATGTAAATTTGAAACTTTTTCGTCGTCAAAATTGCACCCCCAGCTGTTCCAGCCCAATTCTTTGGTAGTTGTTGTCAGTCCNCAATCTCTACATTTTACACTGTTGGAATGCAATGGCAAAGACGATCAGTCAGATCAAATTTTGTTGTTTCAAGAAGTTGACAGCTGTTATTGTGGTTGTCACTTGTTTTCGAAATTTTTTTGTCATCAACAAATGGCACCACAAAGTAGCTCCGACAACAACTGGACACCTGCATTTTGAATGAGCGATTCTTGGGTACCCACGGGTTCCCGAAGGAACGGAATTTCCGCATTGATCTGAATTCTTACCTAAACTCCAATCCCAATATCAAATTTTGTAGCTCAGAGGTGTAATTTTACGCTATTCTCCGGCTAATACCATAAGAATCTTTGAAGATCAGGCGAGGTGGTGGAGTGCCAAAAGGCGCACTAACACACGCATGGTCCAGAGATGAAGACGGCTAGGCTTACCTGCTTAGGACAGCTAAGCCTTCTCTCCGGGGTCGATAGTTGGTACCGGACCCTCTTGGCAGGATAAAAGCACAGAATCATACAGCGGTCGACCACCACAAGTCGTTTCATAGGTCCCATACGCATTCAACATGCCGCTACGATTCTAAAGCGAAGTCGAATGCGGGGCGCATCCCGAAAAGGGATCGATTGGCGCCAAAAAAACGTCCTCGTCAATTTTCGAGATAGTTGTTTATGTTGTTTGTAATGTTGTTCACTAGGCGTGTGATTTCAACGACTTGGCCTCGGCATCGCCGTCACCAACGGGGCGGAGTCCGTCAGTTAGGCAGGCAACCGCGCGTAGCTACAGCTATCAGTCATCTCTGATGACGAAATTTCGTGATGTTCGTTTTGTTAGGCTGTACATTAGCAGCTGATTCAGTGAATAGTGCTATTGGCATAGATCGTGTACCAGTTTGTTGCTTGGAGCATCGTTTTCAATTTCGTTTCCTCTTATTGTTACCATCGTTACCACCTGCTATCGCTCCTTCTCTCTCTCATGCATAACATCTAATCATTTCCATTTCAACGTCTTTCCAACGCACGTTTTCGTTTGTATACTAACTTACTCTCTAAACAGGTAGCGAAAGATAATGGAAAAAGTATCTTGACGGTAATCAACCTTGTTTTTGGGATCGGCCACGTATTAGACTTCTACTCGAAATTTGGTGCACTCTGGTGCTCCACTCTGGTGCCGACACATCCTCTGGAAGGTAGGCTTGGTTGGTCTGGGAGTCTTCCCGGAGGAATGGAATGCTTGGTTGGCTATGGCCCGATAAGTGATCGCACCCAAGGACCAAGCAGTGAAGGCGCTCCTTTTTCCACTGCACAACCACGACCCACCATATGAATACATAGATATTTTAATATAACCCAGGACTTAAAGTATTTGCGGATCTCTTTCGCCAGAGCCTGAACATTTTCTTCCTCAATTTCAATATCCATGCTTTCGAACCTCTTTTCGACTTTTTAGTATTCTATGAAAATAAGAAGAATGAAGTTCTCAAAGGATAGAGTGTCCAAAGGTTAAACCCTACAGTCCGTCTGAACCAATTATGCCAAGATTGTGAGAATATCAGCACTACCAATCCGCTTTCCCTCTCCTCGTTAAGCCTCGCTGCATTTTCTTCGTTCTCGTTAGGCTTGGCTGTATTTTCTAACAGCTCAATTTTTTTCTAGAACATTCCTAGCACTAACTGTGTTCTGAAATTCAACGCAATTGGGATTCTCCATTGATTAGCAGAAGGAAAATTTGATGAAAAATAGTCAGTGCTCATGCTGTGGGCTAATAAGCCTGAAATGTGCCATGCGTCCAGTTTCCATTGAAGAGTTCCTTTTTTGTTGAATTCTAATTAATTGCATAATACTATCAAAGCTGGAAGAAAAAGAAATTCCGAAAAGTACTGAATAGGAGTTCTTTCATTTCTAAACGTTACACTTTATTGGATCGCTAAGCGCTGATAAGATGCCACCTCAGGATCAAACTTCTGGCATCTGACGGACTCGAACGTGCATTAAGAGAGATGTTTATGCACGAAAACTGCGGCAAAACTTTCGAAGCAACAATTCAGAGTCAACAAAAACATGTTTTCGAGATTATTTTTCCTCAGCTCCCTACGATGGGTGAAAAGGGACTTATCACGAGGGTGCTCGATCATTACAAAAACAACAAGGCAGTTTGCAAATCACTCTTAACTCAAGATGGACTATTTTCAGTTGGTTTTTTAGTTAGGCCTTCGAATCTTTACTTATAGGGAATGAGAAAAGTACTCATAATTGTAAGTTAGATGTCTTGTGCATCTTCGAATTCTTGGTCGAATTCATGACCTTTACCGAGTTTAAATTTTACCTGATTGTACCTTTATTTTCCGCTGGGAAGTTCACTGTACCCCAGAGTGTAGAGGTTAGTTAGAGCCCAGAGCTTCTGAAAGAGCTGAGGTGGTAAGAAATGCAATCGGTCGTTAAAGGCACAAGTTCACGATAGAGACGGCTTATGAGATTTCCCGCTATTATAAAATCTTTGTCTCCCCGTATACCATATGTGGCGGGGCGTTATAGAAGCTAAAAAATTGTCCCGTGTGTATACTCGGACGAGTTCCACCGGTATTGCAAAGGCTACACCATTCACAAGAGAACCCATGTGTAGGAGGCCCAAGCAACTTGTCATTTCCGATAGGGACAATGAAAGGCCGTTTTGGACAGTTTTTGCTTGGTGTAGTCAGATTTTGCGCAATTGCAACAACTGAAATCTCGTCCGAATACCCCTTCATGTCATCTTCAACATGGTAATCTCGTATATCCCCTAATTTCTCTACTTTTGAGGAGCCTCATTTTTCACAAAGTCGGCAAATTTCATTGCTTTCGTTATCACCTATTCTAATGAATGAGCTTCCCCTTTTCTGAAACTACATGTGGTTTTTCTGTTTTTCTAGCTGCGGTGTTTTAAAAAATTAGCCTCAAGTTGATATTCATTCCGGCGCGGGGTTAAATGATTTGTTTTCCACGAATTCTTCAGAGACAAAGGAGCAGCATGGTTTTTACATGATCCCTTCAGCTAACTTGTGGCTGTTGTTCGCTGAATCGCGTGATTTGTTAGGCCAAACATGTGGCTTTTCCTTGTTCGTTCATTCATTATACATTGGATTCTGCAGTCATGCTTGTTCGGCTTTGAATTTCCTTTTTTTTTTCTTCAACGAGTACAGTAGTCTACATGTCGAATTACTTACTTTTTTCTCCTCTTTTTCCGCTGCTTGCTTCTACTCAAAACACTCCTCCGTTCCTTCTTTTAAGGGCGTTCTAGGAAGGTTTCCAAATTGTTGCGTTTACTGACGCTCTTGGGTGATTTTCTGATTGAACATGGGTTTCAAGGCCTTTAATCAGCTCTAATCCCTAAAGGATCATTAGTAGCCCTTAACGTGAAGGCTTCCAGGGAGTGGGGTGGTCTTTTTATTGCCAGAGGAGACTTCCATTTCCCATTAGACAGGCTGGCAATTCTTCCATGGAAAGAAGGCGTTCCGATTGTTAAGTGGATTACGATTCAGAACCAGTTGTTCTTTCTAAAAGTCCTCCGGTGGAGATAGGCACCTGCAGCCTTTTACGGGCTTCCCAGGGGTTTGCGCCTCCCAAATCATCTTCGCTTTTGTTTTACTTTTGAATCGTGCAATTTTCTCGGAGAGTAAGTTAGTAGGAAAGTCTCTTCCCAAAATGGGATCGAACATTTCGCATCTTTCCCGAGAAAGTTGAATTTTACCTGAAGTCAACTTTTCAGATGCCACCAAATGCACCAGCTGAACTTGATGCAAATGTAGTAGCCCAGGTACGTTTCTTCCTTTTCTCAGAACCCTGAAAAAAAACTTTCCCTTCCCTGAAAATAAGCCCAGCACTTTCAGGTTCGTGCACAAGTAGCCGATCTCCTCCATCCCCGTTATGATACTCACTTCAATATCCTACGATGGTTACAATCCTGTGAGTTCAATATACCAAAGACAGTTCACAATCTTCGGAAGCATCTGAAGTGGAGAAAGGAACGTCATCTGGACGAGGACGCTCGTGGACTTCAAAGTTGTCCTGTCAGTTGCTTTCCATCTCGTTTCCATGGCAATGTTTACGAATATGCAAGAAATAAGCGATTTTTTAGATAACTGCTGAATATGCCCCGGTTTCCATCATCGGACCCAACCGAAAGAACGGAGATCGGCTGATCGTCGTGGACCAGAGTGGTAAGGCTTTCCGAAACCCTTCAAAATGACCGGCGAAATGAGAATAAATTTTCAATCCTGTTGACAGATCGAGTTCACAGTAGTATTAACACACAACTTCCCGTTTTATCGCTCTGTTCATTATTTACAAATTGATTTTTTTTGTAAAATCCACGATATCAAATGCTTTTATATCGTTCGAAGATTATTTATCAGTTCCAGTCTGAGAGGCCATCTCTGCTGTAGCCACCTAATAGAATGTAGCGCTATATCCACCATGACCGCTGTTGCGTCACAGTGGTCATGGTGGATATAGCGTTGTGACCAAAAATGTATCATCCCTAGCAGCCATAAATTTTATTTTTTACCGTACTCCAGCTTGTGATTTATCTGGAGGCACCCTGTGGGATGGTGTCGTTCGGGAAGCTTTTGTGATAATTTGTTAGAAACCCTGAAAGTTCAACATGCACGCCGAATTTCAGAAATTACCAATGAACGAAACCAGGAAGAGCTTATCTCATCTTTCCATAATGAAACATTACTGATGTGTTCCGGTAAATTGTAATAGGGCCAGAGGTTATTTACACAACTCACTTTGTTTACAAACAAATCCTGCTTATCTTCTCAATCAATCAGTTCTCTATTTTCCCCGGATAGTCGTTTCAACTAGACCTCCGTAGCTTATGACTCATTATAGCCAATAACTTTCAAAAAGACATAGGAGCTCGATAGTAGTGCTATTCTGTACACGGCGTGTGATCTATAACAGAAGTGAGAAAAATAAAAATAAAATAAATAATATTAATAGTGATGATGCCAAAAAATAAAAAAAATTGGTGGTAAATCAACTATATACTTTACTACTACGGAGTAATAATTATAATTGATAATAATAGTGATAAACAACGATAAACAAGAATTGTTTGAGATAATAAAAAGTAATACAAATTCATAGCCCCTTCGATGATGGATTGTAATCAATAAAAGTATAACTAATCACAAGCAATGATAGTCCTACTGATGATATAATTATAAAAATATATAATTATAAAAATAAAATACTCAAAATAATGAAAATGATAAAACTAGTAAACATCAATAGTAAATAGTGGTTCCAAATGACTGGTTGTAACAACAGTAGTGATAATAATATTGCTTAATTCCTAAATTTCAGGTAAACTCGATATTAGAGGAGTAATGAATTCAATCCAGCCAACACAATATCTTCATCAATTGTTCCGTAATTTTGAGAAAATACTGACAATGTTGAATGAGGTACGGTAATTTGTCCTACAGTAACCAGTCATGATTACTGTATTACTGATTAACTACTGGCTCAATCGTTGGGCAAATTTTTGCTTCAGATGGAAGCCAGAACAGGTGTTCAGTGCTCCATATACTACGTCTTCGATCTTGAAGGGCTCAGCTTTGATCCCACACTTTTGGGAATCCTTAGCGGTATGTTTCCCATGCTCGAAAGTGTTTCCCCACTTACCGTATCTTTCTGGAATATTCACTGATTTCCAGGTCCTTTCCGGGTATCCTGGCAATTGATAGGACAACATTATCGAGAGTTTATCAATCAATTTGTCGTCATCAACACCCCTAGCTATATCAATGTACTCTGGTGAGCTTGTATACTGTTTACTTTCCAACAGACTATAGTCAAAATTGAAAACTAATAAAGAAAATTCCAAAAAATTGTAAATTCCTGTCTAAAAGTCCACTTTTATTCTTTCAGGACCGCCATATCGCCATTTATCCCAGAGAATGCACGAAGTCGAGTAGTAATCACTGGCAAGGACTGGCCACAAGAGATCCTCGAATTAGCCGATCCCGACTGCCTTCCCGAACGATATGGTGGAGAAATTCCCGATGAGAAAATCCTAAAGTAAGTGATAGCTAACGTGGTTTATGAGGCAAAGTGGTGGGTACAAAAATAATACCAGTTCAATTCAGTGCCGAGCTGAATCAACACTTAGAAATTGCCCAATTGAATGACATAGTCTCTAGGAATGATTGCAAAAAACTGGAAGGTTGTTGTTTAGGTCGCTTGCTTTTGAGAAAATGCACGTATACCGTTGAAACAGTCAAAAATCGTGCCGAATCTTCAGTAAGGGTTAACATTTAGAATAGAAATGTCGTTCAAACTATATACGCAGGAGCATTTCCTAGTAAGCTCCATCTCCCACTTCTCCCCACCCACGTACCTGAAGGCCCAGTCTACTAACATGGCAGCAAAGTTCAACGAAGGACTTCTAGACCACTTCATCAGTGAAGTCTCCTGAAGGTCATTTGTTAATTTCCTAGAAGTGTTTCTGCAAAAAGACACCCTATGAAAGAAATTCTGTTATCATTCTAGTTGGTAACAGATCGTTATCAGCTGGAACTCTTTCAAATTTTACGATTTCTTGGCTTTGATTGGTCCTGTTTTGGGATACGCCTTGACATTCGATCTTTTTTCAGAGTTGTAAAAGTGCTTGAATGCGTAAAGGACCTATACAATGAATTGTTCGGCCAGCAGACGTGCAAGTCGGGGTTTCATCCTGTCAAAGCTCTCTGGTAGCATTTATTCATCCAGGACTTGATCCCCAGACTACATTTATGTGTGTGGTGTGTGTGGCGCTACTTAGCAGTACTCCACTTCCACTGTAAAGTATAATGGCGAAATTGAACAATGGTGTTCTGATTTGATTATATTATATGAGTGTTCAAATGCTGTTTCCTTTTTATGGTTTTCTTTCAATTATCGCTCTTTATATTTGTTGTTCTCTGTTCTCTTTATTTTGTTCTCTGCTTCATAATGATATGTCTATTTTGCTTTTTGCGGAAGGGAAAACGAAGTAGGAAGGCGACCCCGCCAGAGAATATTCTAAAATATTTCGAAAATCGTGAAAACTTGCGAATGAAACTTGGTTATTCCCTTTTTCTATTAATTCCTTTTTCGCTACATTCTTTTTTTTTTGCGATAATGAAAATTTTCGGAAAAAAGCTCTCAGAGCATAGTCTCTTTGGGCACTCCTTATCAGAACGATGGGAAGGCTGTTTCGAATACATCAATCTAGTGGTGGCCTGAATACTCTTTTCTTGATCGAACCCTCATTTATTTTCTTCTCTGGCTTCCAATGATGTTAGTGAGAATACCAGAGGAAATGGCTAAATATGAATAATAAGTGTATTTCCAAAAGAATATGAATACAACACTCCGATTACATTGCCTTTACCTATTTGATTTATTTTTCAAACGAAAATCGCATTCATCGCATGCATGGCGCATTCCAGACCTGAGTGATCAACCTGAAGGAAAGCCAATTGGACACATTCAAAGATCACTGTTATTTCCAGTAGACATTAAATGGCCGGGCGCGTCCAATAACGGGACAGCAACTGACCCAAACTTGATATCCTTCAATTTTCAAGTCCCTGAAACAAGTTTTAGTTTTTTCCTGAGTCTACTACTACATAACACGATACTAGAATGATTATTGATCTAAGTTCTCCTTGTTCAGAGATCCTAAACCTGTGCCGAAGGACTTGTACTGGCGGCCAAAACCGGGTTACCCGAGCGTGACTTCGTTGCATCGCATCTCGATTCCAGCAGGTCGGTGGCAGTTTTTTNTTTTTTCTCGATTTTCATAGGAATGTGTGAGAGTTTAATGTCACCATGGTGTCATCATTAATTTTCGAGCTCAACAGTGATCAAGGTCGTGGCAACTGGAATCGCTGTGTATTCCCTCGTCATATGAACAAGTCAAAGATGCTGCAAAAAACTAGCATCACCAAATCTTTCAGATCTCTTTCACAGCAAGAGCATAGGGAGGTGGGAAACAGTCAAAGCCGCTGCAGGGGCTTCGAAAAAGGCGAAAACGCCGAAAACTTAGCTTCAAGTGGTCGATACCTACCCAAACCAAGCATCCCCGATTAACTGCTGTTAGCCTAATTTAGGACGGTATGAACACCGACTCAAAAAAAGTAGGTTGTAACAGTCACATCCCAAAACCGTGTTGATGTTCAATCTTATCCTTCTTGCTTCCTTGAGGACGAAGACGTCATCGCTTTCGATGCAATCCCGCTTTAGTGGTCAGATAACGCGTAACAAAATAATTTGGGAAAAACTTTTCCGGGTAATGCTCACGTGATATAGGCCATAGACCAGAGGAAGTGAGCGGAAGTGCAATGGCAGCTTTTAGCACTTGAAACTTCTCACAAGGTCATCTTTCGACAGAGTGAAAGTTGAGCGTCTAAATGACAGCATTCCTTTCCTAAGTGAGGGTCTTTTCGAAGAAGTTTCGGGTGAATCTGACGTCCATCCATAAAAAACTCATTTTCTCTTTGGTTGCGTACCTCCCAATTGGCAAGAAGAAAATGAAATGCAACCGTCACTGAGGCAGCGAAGTATGTAAGTTATAAAGGGGGTGAGAGAGTCACTCTCTTCCTCATAAACAGAAAATTCGAGTACCCCCTCGCCTATCAACGCCAGTTTTGCCAAAATCTGATTGACTGGGTAATGTACTAGTTTTTGCAATCTTTTCGGTCCAGTTTTCCACTTTTCTTGTCTCAGAGGGTTGGATGACGCGTCAGTTTCCCTCAAACAGCCCTAATGGGGCGAAGGTTTTGCGTTTCCGTTCGGGTAATCAGCGAAAGTGACGTTCGGGGAAGCGTTTAAGACCGGGCGACATTTCAACTCTTCAAATGTCAACTGACTTGATTGTCGTATGAGTTTGGGGAAGACAAAGTGGTGGATTCTAGTTGTCAGGACCTTCGAGTGGCTCTCAGTGTGCAATTTGATCCTGAACTAGGAACTTTATTGGATTCCGAACTCAATCAGGACTACAAGTATTTCAGGGAAAACGAGGACGTTAACCTATCACGTCACCGCTGGAACTGATCTCCTTGTTTACTCTCAAAATGATTCTGACGTCACATTTGGCATGTACTACACCGAAAAAGAAGTAAGTTTGACTCAAAATCTTTGCTTATGGTGGGACTATCGGGGATCAATCCGGTCTGGGAATCTGGGGATCTCCTGATTTCAGTTTTGGCATTGATCTGCCTGAACTCTATTGATTTTGTGATTCTGAAGTTTCCTATGATAATTTTACTGGTTAGGTTGAATACCATCAAAGATCAGTGGGGAAACGGTTAGAGACAAATCAGAGAGGCTCATTTGCGGTGGTACGATTGAAACTATTGGCGAAGTGGGAAGGGAGTGGGCCTAGTCAACTAAAATAACTGTTTAGGAGGGGCAATACTGTAGGAGTGGTGTCAAAAAGTCCCAAATCCTCGCCCAGATGGAAAGAAGGCCTTGGTACCCGAGACTGTGGATATTACAGCTTTGGTTGAATGGGATTGAAGCTAGTTATTAGTATCACTAATCAGTATCAGTTATCGTTAACATATCTGCCCCTAGTCACCAGCTTACCTGGTTTTTACTCTGAGTACTCTACTCAAATAAACCTTTTTGTGGCAGACACTTTCAAGAACGGGAAAGTCCTCCAAATCAGTGTGTGTTTTCCTCCTTCCTTTTAGTGAACGTAGAAAATCGAAAGAAAATTAGCCAAATCGAGCAATTCAGTTGTTGAATACTTGAACAAAACAATCTAATTCGAAGACCGATTGCTTGACATCGGAGAAAATGTTTTCATCGGTGTCGATTGACAATAATTTTGAACCAGTATTAGGGAAGGGAATGAAGGGAAAACGTCACGGTCGATAGTGGCAAGAAGCGTTTTCCGAGAAATTGAATACCAAATGATTTTGATGAATTACTGTCACAGGAAGTTACTTTAGAAATTCAGAATAGTATTTATGGTTATGCTCCACTTAAATCTTCTGAAGAGGTTCTAATTAAAAAACGATATTATCGAGTTCTTAGTCGTACTTCAAAAAATCAGCTTGGCGAGTGGGATAGNGGATTGAAGCTAGTTATTAGTATCACTAATCAGTATCAATTATCGTTAACATATCTGCCGCTAGTCACCAGCTTACCTGGTTTTTACTCTAAGTACTCTACTCAAATAAACCTTTTTGTGGCAGACACT